GCGCCAGCTCTGTCAACGGCCTGGGCCGTCTCGCTCGAGGTAGCCTTGGAAAAAAAAGAACCCTGCGCGGAGCTCTTCAACATCGAGCCTCACAAACTCGCTGCAGTCCGCGCAAAAGAAATCACAAGCACTCCGGCATTGCAGGCTGGCCCCTGACTCCGTGGCCTGGGGCCCCTCTAGATCTTGTTGGGCCTGTCGAGCCCGAGGGTTGGCGCGCCCTGAGACTCGACCATCTTCCAACGCAGGCACATCAAACTTGGTCGTTCTAACACGGCCGAGCGGAACTGCGAGTTACCCTCGCGCATGTCCACGATTTTCTGTAATCCCCTAGCGCGCCCAATCCTAGGCTCTAGAAACAGCGGCGCAAGCCTGAATTTCCACGTGATCTCCTCGTGGCTGGCGGCGCGCTCGTCTCCTGCATCTTCCTCCCACCGCGCTGCGCAGCGCAGTGCGGCCGATCCGCGCGCCGCAACCCCTGGCCCTGATAGGGCCGCGTTGGCGAGCAGGCTCTGGGCCATCGTGCGTTTCACCGAGAAGGGGGAACCGCTGAAGCAGAATCTGCTCACGGAGTGCCGGGGCGCCTCGACGACCGAGAATAGTTGCCGAAGCTCGGGCCCAGCGGCGGGCGCGGCCGACTGGAGGCCTCCGAGGCAGCGGGCGCGGCGCGTCGTCTGTCCAACAATGCCCCGTAGAGCTGCAGCGCGCAATCTGCGTTGAAACTGATGGGCCCCGAGGCATCGACCATAAAATTCGCCCTCCTGCTTGCTGATGTTCTGTCCCGCCCCGACCACCGCTAACCCCTCCATCGATCGCCCAGTTCTCGTCTTCGCCCACTCTGATGACGCACTCCTCCACGCCCCCCCCCCGTCTCCATGTTCGCTAAATCGTCTGCGCGGCTCGCCGAGGCAAACAGCTCCAGGCAATCTGGCGACCGGGGCCCAGCTGCTTCGACGCGCGGGCGCCGCCCTCGAATAACAGCGCAATCTGCAACCTTCTCCACGATTGGGGCCCAGTGGCTCGCGCAAAACAACTGAGTGGCACCCGCGTCGCCTGCGCGCAAATCGGACCGCGCCTGCTTCAAAAGAGGAGCCGCTCTCGTCCTCTAGCAGAAGTTTGTTGTGTTAGATCCATTATCAAATGAACTGCCTGTCTACATGCGAGTATCAAGCGCGCGCTTTCTGGGAGCATGTGGTGCTGCACCTTGCAATGTGCATCAGTAGTGTCGCGACACCTGCGCGCGTGCGCGATGCCCGCTGCCCGCGCGCGACATGAGCCCACCAGTAACACCCCCTTTAACCGCCCCCTCCACCTGCGCCCGAGCCCGCTGCGAAGCCAATTGGGAGGCCCCCACTCGGGCTCCGCGCGCGCAGGAGCTGCCGCGTGAACGGCGCGCCCGCGACAGCGCATGACCAATGAACTGCGCCATCGCAGACACGCATGCAACCATTCCTCGGTGGACTTGCTGTCTCAACTGGACGTCGCCCATGCCGGCGACGAACCGCGAGGGCCGTCTTCATCGCACCCCTAGCACGATCAATCTTGACAAACTCCCGGGCGCATCCAATCCCCCCCCCCACTTGTCGGCCTCCTTTCGTTGAGCCGCTTCGGGTGAAATGCTAATGCGGGAATCTCCGGCAGGAGCGACCATGCTGGCCAGGCGCGCCAAGATCTCGGCCTCCAAACTGATCCACTGAAAAATGCCCAGCCCTCTGCTGCTTGAAACACGGCCTTCGCTTCCCCCATCAACTCCGCCCACCCCTCATCGATCCTCTGCTTCACTTAGGCCAGGTGAGCCGGGATGGCCGAACATCCCCCAGAGAGCGGGTCCAAGTGCATTCTTTGCGCCCGCGAGAATGCCGAGGCCACGCTGTCGGCAATGGCTGCAAAACGGCGCCGTCGAAGCCCGCGCCGTCTACGCGCGAGCAACCTAAAAAGTTCCTGAACGAGGTAGTGATTCTGGTATTTTGCTGCTAGTCGTAGCTCTTGTGCTCTGCGCTCCTGTGCCCGTATTGTTGGCGTGCTTTTCCTATTCGCTTACCCTGGTTGTGGATCTGCTGCGCGAGATGCTCTAAGTCCTCGCCCCCTGCCGATCCTCGTAGCTCCCTCTTTTTTTGAGCACTTGAACTCTTTCCTAAATGCCCGTGTATACCGGGGGGTCAGCAAGCTGGGGCGCCGCGGCTTGATGAAGGGCGCGAATCAGCACATCATTCGTGGCATCTGCGTTCCCCTGCTCCGCCGACGAATCGAACTACTCCTGAGCCTTCGAAACCTCCTCCTCCTCCATGGCATTCGGAACTTGATTTCGTTTAAAGCCCACCTGTACACACTGATAGAGTGCCTCTCGATTCGGTCTGGGCGGACGTCGGGGCAAGGGCCCAAGCGAAAGCTGAGCGATGAGCGACACCAGTACAGGCCCGTGGTCACGAGGCTCGCGGGCCTTCATGGTATGCAGCCTGCGTGCCGACGAGGAAAGAATTTGATTGCAATCAACCGTATGCAACATCTCAACAAAGAGCAGTCTGTAATCTATGTACGCGCAGCCCTTCTCTCCAAGGTACATGGGCGGCCCCGCTGCGTAGGGTAGAAATACTCGCGGGACCCCATCCGTTCAAGTTCGGTCTGGACCTGGCCGAAGATGGAGTGATTCGCCCTGTGCCATGGACTCCTTCCATTCGGTGTTGTGGGCTATGCGGGGGGGCGCCGCTCAACTCCGTCATCACGATAGGCACGACAACCCTGTTTCTAATCACTGCCATCACCTCGGCGGTCCTTTCCATCGAATGCTCTAGGGTCCTCTCGTAGTGCTGCCGTCCTCCCGATGATGTCTCCCTGGGCGGGAAGTACGCCACGATGATGCCGTAGCGAAGTCCTGGCGGTTCCAGAAAACCAACCAGCCCACGACCTCGTATACTCTTCGGCACGTCGAAACCTCGATTGGTGCTCTAGATCGAGATCCGCGACCGTCTGAGCAACAAAGCAGCTCCACAGCTCTTTGTGGTGAACTGGCCATAGGAGTAGCCCGCCTCGACTCTGGCGTACTGGCCCACGGTCCTGGTGTCCTCCGTGACCTCGCCTCGGCTCTTAACCTGGGTTCCCACGCGAGCAATCATATCCTCCTTGCGCCCGAGCTCGCGCACCATGTCGAGCCACCTGCTGTAAGTGTTCGCGCACTGCGGGTTGTCCACCCCCATACCCGCATCACATTTTATCTTTCCAACGTTTCTCTCTCGAGCCTGTGACCCGGCGGCCGTCGCCAGCTGCATGTGCCCCAAGAGAAGCCCATGGCAACTTGCGAGAAATGCAACCTCGGAGGGCCGGGGAAACCATGTTTATGACAACCGAACGAACGTATTCAAACACACCCACATTTGTTATGGCGAACTGCCGCGCATGAGATTGCGTGGGACATTGCTCAAGCCGCGCCATGACTATGAACGCACAATTGCGTCTACAAAACACGCAAGAACAGGTTTATAAAAAAACGAAGAGGATTCATACAACGAGTTGTAAAAACGGAAACGTCGCGATTCGCAATGCGCCGCGGGGGCGCGTCGACTAAGTCCACAAGCATGCCGGAAAGCATGTGAAGATCATCCTGGTGGGTGTGGGGGTGGGTTGGTCTCTCTCTCTCTCTCTGTGTCTCTGTCTCTCTCTCTCTCTCTCTCTTTTCTCTCTCTCTCTCTCTCTTTTCTCTCTCCCTCTCTCTCTCTCTCTCTCTCTCTCTCTCTCTAGCTGTTTTTAATAAATCTCGGAATGTTCGCAAACATCGTGGCGTTGACGCCGCCAATCCTGCGAACTTCATGTGGGGGAAAGGCCTCGCGGACAGGTGTGTGGGAGTGGCCGCTTCGAGGGTGGGGCGCGCGCTGGCGCCTGACTTGGGCCACCTGAAAAGGAGCGAGGGAGGACGAGGAGAAGGGGGGGTGGGGGGGGGGGGAACGGGGACAGGGGGGGCTGAGGGGAAGAGGATGAGGAGAAGGAGGAGGAGGAGGAGGAGGAAGAGGAGGAGGAAGATAAGGAGGAAGAGGAGGAGGAGGAGGAGGAGGACAAGGAGCAGGAGGAGCAGGAGGAGGAGGAGTAGGTGGATGATGGTGATGATACTGATGATGATGATGATGATGATGATGATGATGATGATGATGATGATGATGATGATGATGATGATGGTGATGATGATGAGGAGGAGGAGGAGGAGGAGGAGGAGGAGGAGGACAAAGAGGACGAGGAGGATTTTTTTTTTCCAGTGCGCCGCTGCCAGGAGGAGGAGGAGAGGGAGGAGGACGAGGATGAGGAGGAGGAACAGGAGGAGGAGGAGGAGGAGGAGGAAAGGAGCAGGGGAGGAGGGGGATATCCCTGGCCGCCAGTCCACACGAAGTAGGACGGGGAAGGGGGAGGACGGTGGTGGGGAAACAACAACTACTGATACCGCTGCTCCCAAGTTCTCTCCCAGGAAGCAGTATGACCAGCATTTCGAAACGAATCCAGCCGTGGCAACGAAAGAAGGGTGCAGAAGAACTAAGCACAACATAAACATATACTTTTGGAGGTCCGCGCGAACTTCTTGGAACGGCGTGGGAAACCCCTCCCTGGCGCGCGGAGCGCACCAGAGGCGGCGCCAGAGGCGCCGCCTGACAAAGGCATTCGCGCGGAGGGCCCACCGCGGAAGCGCCGCAGGGCCCAGCGCCGATCCAAGGCATCTGCGCGGACCTCCGACAATTTATGATTGTGCCGTGCCTTTTTTTGTTTTCCGGAAGCAGCGGTGTCGGTATATGTTTGCGACGAGGGGGAGGCCAGCGCCTCTCGTGAGGTCGAGATCGCCGAGGGCCTCCCTGGAATTTCCCGGTACGGAGCGAATCCAGCACGTGGCAGCGAAAGGAAAACATCCTGCAATTTTCAAGCTTGAGGATAATACATAGTGAGGAAGTCTCAGACCCTACCGGCGTGATTGGGGGTGCGACAGGGAGGACGTCTTTATAAGGAGAAAGGATGAAGGCGGCGGGCGCCTCTGGTGAGGTCGAATGCGCCGAAGGTTCCCCGCGCCAGCAGGACAAGCCCGACCAGCCGGCCCAGCGCGGCCGCCGCGCGCATGGCGCGCGCCCGCTGGTGCGCGGCCCCGCGCCTGTGGCGGGTGCGCGCATCCGCGGTCCGCGCCGCAGTGAAGGCCCGAGCCAGGCCTGAGGAGGAAGAGGAGGAGGAGGAGGAGGAGGAGGAGGAGGAGGAGGAGGAGGAGGAGGAGGAGGAGGAGGAGGAGGAGGAGGAGGAGGAGGAGGAGGAGGAGGAGGAGGAGGAGGAGGAGGAGGAGGAGGAGGAGGAGGAGGAGGAGGAGGAGGAGGAGGAGGAGGAGGTGGAGCAGGAGGAGGAGAAGGAGGAGGAAGAGGAGCAGGAGGAGGCGGTGAAGGAGGAGCAGGTGGTGGTCGTCGCCTCCTCCGGGGACGCGCCGCGGCCCGCAGGACGAACGACCCCAGCGGCGCGGAGGTTTCGCGGCTGATGCCGAAGCCCGGTGGGGGAGGCCGGCCGCTCGGGCGCTCAGAGACATACGAATGCCATATGTCATCCTTGGAGGTGCGCGTCCGACCCGAACATATAGTAGACCCATCGTGTAGTATATCTCTTCCCGAGCGGTGTGGCCAGAAAGCGCCCGCCACGATGCACGCACCAGAAGATTTATCGGTGCGCGCGTCGCCCCTGAGGGGGCGACGCACATATGGTATAAGTATGTTGGGGTGGCGCCGAGAAGAGGCGAGGAAAGCCAGGAGGACTACATTAGGAAACGACCGGGAGCAAGCCATATTAATCGAACGTAAGTGAAAAAATTAAACGGAATCTGCCAGGATTGAGCCGGGCTGAGCCGGCATTGAAAATTATCCAGGCGAAAGACCCAACCTTATGCAGTTGTGAGTCACGCGTTGTGGGTGCCGCTTTCGGTGGAGCTCCCTATGGGGCCACAAACGCGCAAGGTATGTGCCGTAACGCGTGGGGGCTGACGCATGCGGGCGGTCCCACTGGGGCCTTCGCTGGGGCTCCCTATGGGGCCACGAAGCGCTGTACTGGGTGGTGGCTGACGCATGCGGGCGGTGCCCCTCGCTGGAGCTCCCGATGAGGCCACGCAGCGCTGTGCTGGCTGGGGAAAGCGCATGCGGGCGGTGCCGCTGGGGTCTGTCTGTGGAGCTCCCTCCGGGGCCACGAAACGCTGTGCTGGGTGGTGGTTGACGCATGCGCGCGGTGCCACTGGGACCTTCGGTGGAGCTCCCTACGGGTCTACAGGAGGGGGGGACGCATGCGGGCGGTGCCTCTGGGACCTTGGGTGGAGCTCACCATGGGCCCACGAAGCGCTGCAGTGGGTGGGGGGTCGCACGCGAGCGGGCCACTGGAGCCCCCTACGGGGCCACGAAACGCTGTACAGGGTGGGGGGGACGCATGCGGGCGGTGTCACTGGGGCTTGGTTGAGCTCCCAATCGATGGGGCCGCGAAGTGCAAAACTGGGTGGTGGCTGACGCATGCCGGCGGTCCCACTGGGACCTTCGGTGGAGCTCCCCATGGGGCCACGAAGCGCTGTACCGGGTGGTGGCTGACGCAGACGGGCGGTCCCACTGGGGCCTTCGGTGGAGCTCCCTATGGGGCCACGAAACGCTGTACTGGGTTGAAACGCAAGGAGGAAGGGCTGTGCTGGGTGGTAGTTGACGCATGCGGACGGTCCCGCTGGGACCTTCGGTGGAGCTCCCTATGGGACCACGGAACGCTGTAATGGGTGGGTTGAAACGCAGGGAGGAAGGGCTGTGCTGGGTGGTGGTTGACGCACGCGGGCGGTCCCACTGGGACCTTCGGTGGAGCTCCCCATGGGGCCACGAAGCGAGGTACTGGGTGGATCCTCTCACATCTTGCCACCCGATGCCCCCCTGCCATTATTGGCCGTCTTTGTCTGAATACTGATTTGGCGGCGCGCACAAGGTGGTATGGGGGAGGGGGGAGGCTTCTTAGAAGCACCCTACTTCTTAGAAGGCGCAGGCCCTGCATCTATAGATAAAGGCCCGCGCCTTCTAAGAAGCAGGGGTGTTTCTGCAAAGCCTTCCCCCCTCCCCTTACCCCCCTTCCGCGCGTGGCCGACAGTTGCTGGTTGTTTTCCTGGATGCCACAAAGGGTGCCGCCTGGGATGGCGTTCGCGTAACGTCACTGTCGCCGATGCCTGTTATCCCTGGTTCGTGCCCTGGCCACTAGTGGACTCCACCTAACTGTGTCGCATCTGCCCTTTGCACAACTCGCCTCTTGTACCTGGTTGTGCCGACCGCCTGGACGCGCCGCCAGCTACATGTACCTGAGCCTGCTCCGGCGCGACCCGAAGTGCTTCACCCTCGGAGGGCTTTCCAGCCGCCTGCGGCCCTCCCCCTGCTCCTCCTGCCGCCCCCCGCCTCTGCGCCCAATTGGCGCAACGCTAACCCTATGCTGGTGAGAATCGCACCCTGGGAACAAATAAAGTTGGGGGTCCTGCGAGGACACTTTTTTCCTGGGTTACCGGTGTTGCGGACGGACGACGAAGGGGAGGGGCAGCTCGAAGCATTGAGCGTTTCGCGTGAACCATCCACGCACAACTAACGCGTTCGCGACCGTGCTTTCTACCATGCCAAGCGTTTTGCTTGCGACGTCCTCGAAAAGCTGCTGGTCGCGAAATCAGCGAATCTTCGAAAACTTGCGTTTCTCTTGATACATTCTCACGAAATCTAAAAGAATGATCACTCATGGTGCTATGCATGAGATGAAGATCAGAGCGACAATGCGACCTTTGGGGGTGATTCTAAAGATCGCCCAAAATTCACCTCCCGCGCCTCTTGTGGCACTTTGCACCCACGTACACCCCGTGGATAATCAGGCAGCGGGGGTAAAAGGGGGTGTCGCCTCTATTGTCCGCGGCATGCGGTGAGCCCTGTCAGTGCCTGGCCGCACCTCGGACCTGGGCCGCCGCGGATCAAAGCTTGGGCAGGGCGCCGAGGCATGCGCAGGCCCACCGCCCCCGGCCAGGTCCACTGTGGGCCCGGGAGCGGTGCCTGCGTCCCCTCCCCCCCCGGGGCCCAGCCAAGAGGGCCGTGCGCACCGTTGCGGGGCGCAGGGGGGGCCTGGCCAGGGTCGCGGCAGAAAGATAGGGGCTGGGGCACAAGGAGGGAGGAGGAGGAGGGAGGAGGAGCAGGAGGGGGAGGAGGGGAGGAGGAGGGCACAAGTTGGGTTGGAGGGAAAATCGCCCCGAACGGCCCCTGGAAGAAGGAAGCGCACTAAACGGGAGCATCACGCTGGGCACGCTCCCCCGCCCCGCCTTGGGATAAACCTCCCTCTGCGGACCGCCGAGGGGGCGGTGGAAGAGGAGCCGGCGCCAGCATCAGTTCACTGCAGTGTTCAAGACTGGGCTCGCGTTGGCAGAACCCCCCGGGGGGCCGAGCGAATGCGAGGACGCCCGAGGCAACAAAAAGGCAAAGAACCCGCGAACCTATCTAGTCAAGCAGCCGCTCAGGGATCTCGCCCCCTCGTGGTTTCCTCTGCTGCTCCGCCGACTGGACTTCTTTACTCTCGTCGGCTAGAAGCATTCACTCTCCCTCATCACCTCATTTTCATGCTTAATGCTCCACCTCGATCAGAGCTCCCAGGAGGTGGCAGCTCGAAGGGGAAGTGAACTTGCTGGGGCTGAGCCCCTACTGATTTGTGAGGGGTGTACCGGCAAAGTGGTGAGCGGACCCTTGGGGGGTGAAGGAAGAAAATCAGGAGGATTACGATAAGAAAGATGTGGGGGAACAAAAAGGGTACTGAGGATGAGGGGAAGGATGCTGAGATGGAGGGGGGGGCGAGGAGTAGCAGGAGGCAGAAGTAGTTGTGAAGGAGGGAGGAGGCAGAATGGAGGAACCGAGGAGGGATAGCGGGAGAGCGAGGAGGAGGTCGAAGGATAGGATAATGGAGGAAGGAGGGGCGGAGGAAGAATGGAGGATCGATGACATACCACGACGCCTCCCGGCGACCAGCGCAGGTCGAGCAGGGAACTCGAAGGGGGGTGCGGAATTCAAGCATGGCAGCCCGCGCGGCAACACGCACCAGAACGTCCCAGTAGGAGGAGCGCGTTGACGAGGAGGGAGCCATGCGGTGAAGATGGCGGGGAAGACGAGACATGCGAGCAGGAGGAGGGACCGATGAATGCTCTCAGGGCCAGGGGCGGCAGAGGGTCAGAGGCGCAGGGCGACGACGGCGAGGACGAGAACGAGGCGAAGTGGGAGGACCGGAGCGAGCAGGGTGACGGTCCAGATCCCTTGCTCCATCAGAAGTTTACACTGGTCCTCCTCCTCCTCGTCCTCCTCCTCCTCCTCCGCCCCCTCCTCCTCCGCCCCCTCCTCCTCCTCCTCCTCTTCCTCCTCCTCCACAATTACTCAATATGAATAATACTCTCCCTCTTCCCCCGATGGCGGCCTCAAACTAGCCGACCCCCCCCCGCGTCCTGCTTTCTTACACACAGGATTCCCGGGAGTTGGGTTTTCGCCTGCATTTTGTTTCAAAATGCTGCTCTCGCCGAGGCGCCGGCCTCATTTTCGGGCCCCGCTCGTTCCGAATCGTGCTCCCGCTGCAGCGCTGGCCTCATTTCCGTGCTTCCGCTCGTTCCGAATCGTGCTCCCGCTGCAGCGCTGGCCTCATTTCCGCGCTTCCGCTTTCGACTCGTGCTCCCGCTGCAGCGCTGGCGTCATTTCCCGTGCCATGCCACAGCACACGCGCACACACGCACACACACACACCACACACCACCACCACCACCACCACCACCACCACCACCACCACCACCACCACAACAACCACCAGCACCAGCACCAGCACCAGCACCAGCACCAGCACCAGCATCAGCACCAGCACCAGCACCAGCACCAGCACCAGCACCAGCACCAGCACCACCACGCACACACGCACGCACGCACGCACGCGCACCACCACCCACTAGTCCGCGGATAGAGAAAATCAGCGCCATGGTAAGGGATGGGAGGGAGGGGTAGGACGTCAGATATGACGCGCGCGCACCTAGCTTGTCCTCCGCCCCCTCCTCCTCCTCTTCCCCCTTCCCCTTCCCCTCCTCCTCCTCCTCCTCCTCCTCCTCCTCCTCCTCCTCCTCCTCCTCCTCCTCCTCCTCCTCCTCACGGCCAGGGCGACGAGTGGCAGCAC